GCTGGGACCGAGGGTGATGCGGAATACACCGTGTTGTATTCTATTTATGTCATACCCACCGAAGAAAACACGCCTTTCAATGCGAAATTAGCGAAAATTTGGTGTCCCTAAACCCAAACAATGCAACAAATCAATTCCAACGGCGGAATTTTGTGTTCGAATTTTCGGAAGCGTTGCACGCGGTTAGGGCGAAACGCGTTCGAATCGTTCTATGGAACATTTGGAAGGCCCGGGCCGTACGCGTTAAGAACCCCCGGGCTGTACCGCTAGTTATCACACGGGCCGGAACACCCGTATCGAACGTAATCGCGGCCCAGGTAGGACATAAAACTCGTTACTCATGATGAGACACCATTCGTTCCTTGTTTGTAATAGATAAAAACTAGGGTTTCACGATCCCATACCTTCGCCAAAGGATGTTAGCCTTGAATGCATGATATGTAAATAAAGTGATTACATGGCCTGTCAAAATTCATGTTTTGGGCGACCGACTATGTCGGCATATAAAATCGCCGCCATTTTTATGACGTCATCGGGGAACGCTCCTTATTAAGTCCTTAGAGCGCGCTTGGCCCTCCGCTAGCCTCCTTTGCAGGCGTTTGGGAATTTTTTTAGGGGGGAATGGGGGTCAAGTTGCACGATTTCGTGATCAAACGTAGATCGCACGCATTTATTATAATAAAAGCTCTGGCCGTGGACACAAATATTACGTTAAGCCATCCATAGAGCTTATACTACTAACGCAACATGTACTGAGGTTGGGGACCAGAGCTTCTATTGCATTCGATCTACATTAATTAAGGTCTTCATTCATTCATTCATGTTAGACCTGGGGCCTCCAAGCAGATCCATTCGCCTGAGAGGGTCCTTGGATACGCCACGCCCTCTGGCGAATGGATTCTGCCTAGCACCCTAGGATCTGCTAGAAGATAAATGTACGTTTGATCAGAAAATCATGCAACTTGCAAATAACACGATCGTCCCGGAATGCCTGCAGACGAGGCTATCACCTTGACAGACCATGAAAACAACACCTCAATTTTTTCATGGAGGTAAATATGCCATCCGAGCTTCCCGCCAGGTTGACGCGGGCGAAATGCAAACTTGAGCCTGAAGCGTGTAACACGATCTGTTGGTTTGGGCAAGCGTTGGGCGTCTGGGGCATTCAGATGGTTGACCCGGATCCGGTGTAGCAGCAAAACCTAGCCTACAAAGGTTCTGTCAACTACCCACATTTTCCCCCTTTTTAGAACAAACTGAACAAAACTAACAACCTTAAAGTACCAAATTCTGGTCATTTTTCTTTTGTGTATTGTTTAGATTCAAATTAGAGCAAAAGGATCGCCATTTTAAGAGGGGTTACGGAACCTCTTGTCAACGATTTGCTCGCTACACCGGCCGAGCCTAGCGTCACCCCACCCCTCCCAACATGGCGACCGAAGTCAAAACAACGACGCGGGTCGTCCGACCCATGAAGCTTATAGGCCTCATTTGCTCGGGAATTGCCTGGATTTTAATGATTGTGTGCCTGGCAAGTGACTACTGGGTTCGCTCGGATACGGTCAAGTTTTACCAGGGCTTGTGGAACGAATGCGGGAAGGTGACAGACGCTACCCCTCCCCCAACCGACTGTACCCCGGTCAGCGCACAGGGACAAGGTAAGTTATTAACCAAACACTTTTCTACCACTTTATTGAGGAGTGCACTTTTATAGCATTTAGTATTTTATCTAATTACTCCACATGGAATTTTCTAGCTGCCATACATTCAAGAAGGGGGTATATTTTGAAGAATCTAGGAAAGAAACGCACATAAATTTAACCCCAAGCAGGTTAAGTTTTACGTTAAACCACACGCCGTTTAAATTTAAACTTGTGCCAAAGTTCAGCATTGAGAATTTTCTAACTTGTCAATTTTGTCGCTAAAAAATCCCGCAAAAGGGTACAGAAAAATGCGGAACTGAGTCTGAGAAAATCCTACACCGCCAGGCAAATTTGCTGGTTAAATATTGAACTCAGAGTGTCAGACGTAAGAAACTTTGCATAGCCAAACATGTGAAATATAGTCACAACTGATAGGAAATTATACACAACCATAACGCCTTCCTATCGATTCAAATAAAACCAACAACCTAAGTAAGTCAAGAACTAGTTAATCGTACCCGCCCACATGTTAATGAGATTGTCTTGCTCCATACTATAGTCTAACCGATTGTTTCCCTATTGTGTCATCATTATTGTGTGACCAATTAATTGATGCGGTTTTCGACAACTATTGAAGTCACACAGTTGGAATGTGGGTGGGGTGGTCTTGGGCTAAAACTAAAAGTTAAAATCTACAGTATGAATTTATTTTTCCTTTTTTTTTAGAACTACAATGTTGGAATAAATACCAATCAACAGTATGCATTTTGCAGACATTTTTTTTATGGAAGAAAAATTAAGCAAACTGTAATTTTACAGATAGAAATTGTGAGAAAAATTAGGCTAACGTTAGGAATGGTGTTAGCCTCCATGCACATGGCAACAGTTTTGCTTGCATGTATTTTTCAAATGATTCTAAAATGTTTGCCAGCATGCAATTTTGTATATGCATGCCATGGGTTTTTTAAAAACATTAAATCTAAACCTAAATGTAAACCTCTGGACTTGAATCCGGACCTGAACCTGAATGTGGGTTTAGGTACACATCCTTACTATACATGAAGTAAATACATTACTTGAAAAGGTTAAAAGTACGGAGGTTTGCAGAAATTTTTTTCTGAATTGCAGAAAAAAGGCATTCTGCAATATTGCAGGACACATGTATTTTTATGATTGTGATACAATCTTTTATATTTCATTCAACAAAATTTTGCCCTGTGCTCGCTGGTAATTTTATCACTATTATAAACTTGCAATTTCAGTTCAGTTCAGGTAATGAGGTATTACTTCTATAGAAACCTAGAAAACTTGCAAACTGCAAAAAATGAGGACTCAAAATTGTCTTGTATGTGGCTCTGTCTAAACTTCACGACTGTCTTACTTGAGCGGTAAGTTCAGAGGTTACAGAAATGGCAGTAACAGAGGTTACAGATCACTCCGAACCTTTGGCTTTAATTTCTTCCAAGTCATCAACCAAACCTAGTAGTAGTGTTGTGGTACAGTTTTCGTTAAGGCCATGTTGATTTGATTATATGGATGACATCCTCTGGGAGCCCAAAAATTGATGCGCGCATGCGAATAAAAAAAAGTTTTGCAAAAAAAAAGTTGTTTTCATTATGAAATGTACACGATCATGAAGGTTGAACAAATGGCACAGAATATGGTTTGGCAAATAATCTACTCTTCAAAGTCATTTCTTTACATTTTCGTCTTTTTTCGTTTGATTTTGGCATTCTACGACATTGGTATAGTTTTTATTTATTTTTTTTGTAAGTTACGGTATATTTTTGCTCATTTTGCAACTGTTTTGTACGATTTACAGTACGGTTGAAAACTTCTTTTTTTTTGGAAACGGCCAAAAATCCATGCGCGCGTGGATGTCATCCATATACAATGTAATCAAATCAACATGGCCTAAACGTAGACTAGTAAGTGTAGTGAGAAAGTGAAGAAAGCAATGATGAGGTCCGTGATTTGGCTCATAAAGAGTCGTAAAGAGTGGTGGCAGCATTTTGCACATTTCAATGAAAACGGGCCTCTACTGCTCTAGCTAGGAGAGGAGCCTGGCTGGACAGCATGCCTGCCAGTAGTCTCCAAGCAGAGGTTTGGGTTTTGGATAATTTTTGGCATGTCTTTAGTTTAGGCTTTTTTATCAAGGTTTCTTTTTTGCACTAGAATTTTTTTTTCATGCAACCCAACACAATGTTCTCATCTACTTGTAGAATGACTGTAATGTGTTAAAGTGATTAATTAGGTTTACAGCACATTGAAGCTTTCGACTGCCTGCAAAAAAGAAACCCTGATAAAAAAGCCTAAAAACACACACAAAAAAACTCAAACCTCTTCTTGAAGAGTAGCCTGCTAGCTTGTCCGAAGTTGTCCCTGAGGCTTGTCAAGTGTTGAATTATCAATTATCCACATACTGCAAAGGCTACAAAATACTTGTCCTGACCACTTTGACCCCGCTCCTCCTAAAAATTGTTAGTAGTTTAAAGCCAAACTCATGTTGGCTTGGCAGTGGTGTAAAGAAGTATTTGGATAAACTTTTATAAGCCATGGTTTAATCATCAAAATTTGCCTCTCAAATACAGGAAATACCTTTTCAGAGGATTAAGATTTCAATCTCTTTCAGAGGGTTGGGTGGGCATGCTCCCCTCCAGTCCCACTATTATAATAATAGAACTGAAGAAAAAAAGGGAGCTATGTCCAGGATCTTAATTTTTTTTTTGTTATGTAAACTTGGGAATATCAAAATGATTGAACTTGGGAATTTCATAAAATTACCAATCTAATCCACATATAGGGCAAGACATGAAAAATATCCATGTCCATCTCTGAACCATCTCCAAGTAAGGCAATGTTGATTTGATTACTCTATATGGGTGACATCCACGTGTGTATGAGTTTTCAGGCGTTTCCAAAAAAAAAATTATTCAACCATACTGTAAATCGTTCAAAACAGTTGCAAAATGAGCAAATACATACTGTAGGTTGCAAAGAAAATATCGGAAAACGATACCAAAATCAAAGGAAAAACTTGAAAATGTACAGAAATGAATTTGAAGAGTAGATTATTCGCCATACCATACTCTATGCCATTTGTTCAACCTTCATGACCACAATAGATTTTATAATGAAAGCAACTTTTTTTTTTGCCAAACTTTTTTTTATTCGCATGCTGTATCTGTATCTGTATAGCCGGTATAACCGCCTTTCGGCGTAACACACCAGCTTCGCAGGCACGCGGCGCGGCGGCAGCTGGCTATATTACACCGATCGACTTGTTACACCTAACCCTTGAACTTCTAGCTCTAGACATTGTTTAAAGCTATCTATTGACAATGCCCCTACTGTACTTGGTGACAGTGAGTTCCACTCTGCGATAGTTCTAGGAAAGAATGAATTCTTGAACACCTCAATCCTTGGTTGATAACTCTGGTACTTAAATGCGTGGCTATTTCTTGTTCTCTTCTGGGCTGGTATTATGTACTCTCACCTCTCGAATAAAAGTACCCCCTGGAATAGAAGTACCCCCCGGACAAATCTTCAAAATCTAATAAAAGTACCCCCTGGAATAAAAGTACCCCCCGGAAAATTTAAAAATTGACATGTAAGCAACGTCTATGCTCCAAAAATGTGTTCTCATGGTGTATATATATATGTGTGCGTCTGTATGACCTTGTCACTTGCAATTATTGACAGGTCCTGAATAAACATACCCCCTTGAATATGATTCCCCCAACAAATCTTCAAAACTTTATAAATATCAGGGATCTCCCCAGAAATTCAGAACAGGGTGGAGGAGGGTGGTCTGGAAACCCCCCCTCCATGGGGGGAAGCTATTGCATTTTGTCTTTTCCAAACACAAATGGAGGTCATTTCCTGCAACTTCAGTTCTACATTTTCTGTACAATTGCAGATGTATAAGGCAGGAGAAAGGTTCAAGATTTAAAAAAAAAAGTTCTATTAGCACCCTTAATTTTGAAAAAATTGGGCATAGGTTCCCCGGATGACCCCTAACCGGGGGCCAACGGTGCTTCCACAAGTTCAACAAGTGAAAATACATGATACAAAATGTACATGTATTTACTACCTGGAACTTGGAGCAAGTTATTCCAAAGATGTACTTACTGACATTAATATATTAAAAACTAAACCAAATCCTATTTCCCAAACAAATCACATATTGACACAGCTGAACAAATAAAAATGTGATCATGTCTATAAACTCCACTCAAAAACAATTTTTGAGAGACACTCGGGTACTAAGCGTGATAATCTCTAATATCTCATCTGATTCTCCCAATGTAAAGGATCTTTACAATCACAGCATCCAACCGCACATACATAGAAAGAACAATATTACACAAGAAACCAATAAATTCGGAAAATTTCTCAGTAATGTTTGAAAATTATTCTTATTAAAATATAAGTGAATTTTTATTTCAGTTGTAGCCGAAAAAATATTTTTCATGCGTTTAAAGTATCGTTTTAGCACTGTAATATGTACTTAGTACATGTCTTATACATTTGGATGCTATCTTGACCTTTGACCACTGTTATTGTAAAAAGCAGGTCGGCCATTTTGTCTTTCTCGCTGTGGCTTTTCGAGCCGTTTTTTCGAGCAAATTTCAACCATTTTAAACATTTTACGGCCTCAAAAACTCATACAACGAGGAAAACAATTTGTAGCTGTCATTTTCATGCGTAACATTTCTTCTGGGGATGGTTTATTTTTCCGCCGAGCTGCCGAAAACTAGCGTCAAACCGCAACCATGCGGTTTCTTCGCGGCGGCCGGCGGGAGTTTTTGTATCGGAGCTTTCACGATGTAAACAAAGATAGTCGGAGTTGTTTATCTGAAAATTTTGTTGTGAAAGTCAAACGCCAGCGGGGTGTCAGATTTTCTACTAATGACAACGTTTTCTTTGTGGCGTCATGGCGAGATCGACAATTCATCGACAATTCACAGGAATTTGTGCCGACAATGGAATGAATTTTCCCGGAACTTTTCCGA